AATCAGCATACTAAAAACAAAATTTAATTGTTTTTTTTATTAATATTATAATAATAAAGGTTTTAATGCTAAAATAATTCAAAATTTATTTGTTATTTAAAGAAATATATGGGAAAATATATAGTTTATTGGGAAAAATTTTACTTAGGAAATTGGAAAATTGGTATGTTGGAAATTATAAGTTGAGAATATTCCTCTGCACCACCAGAAATTGGATCCATTTTACGCCATCGAATACAACTTCCAAATTAATACACATAATATAGTAAAATTTAAATCAAACCCAAAATAATTTTTAATTATACAATACATAATGCTATATTTTTAAATAGCTTATTGTAAACTTGACGTTAAATATTTAAGTTTTATAGTTTAACTATTAAATAAATATTGAATAAAAATATCTAAGATCATGAATAATAATTTTAGTTTTTTTTGTATTTATTATTATTCCAGCTAAGCTATAACATATTATTGAGCTGTCAAAGTTGAGTTAAAATGATTTAAGAGTTAAAATTATGTATTAATCAGTAATCTGATATTTTTTTTATTTTGATATTTATTATTATAATTATAAAAATATAATCGTTAAATACAATATGTACACCCGAAATTCAAATACATAAATTTCAAGTAATATAATTTAACAAATGAGAAATAGATTATAATACTTATATTTTTACTTTCTGTACGCCGTGAAATTACGAGTTAACGTATGGCACACCTGTATAATTAATTACATATATGAACTAAAATAGTAAATGTGTCAAATAAATTGTATCAAATTTGAGAAAATTATATTGAATTCATTTTAAGTATAATACCGGATTTTGATGTCCTTAAATTATAAATAATTTTAAAAATACCTATCAGTATAAAATACTCTTTATACAGCTAATCCAATTAGATTTCTTCAAATTTATAAAACTTGAAATTATAAAACAAAATTAAATGCATATTAGTTATTTATTTATATCTTATAGATAATCATACTTAGTATAATATAATAAAGATTATTTTACATTATCCTTTAATATTTGGATTACGGTGAACTTCTTCTTTTTTTTAGTATTATCACGATTTTTAATAGAAATTTTATTTTTATTTTTATTTAGTCTTGACAAAAAAAATAATAAAATTATTACTTAAGATTTTTACAGTTATTATATACATGTATCATATATATTATATATGAATATATTATAATATTAGTAAACCGATATTTACTCATAGAACCGGTTTTTAATATGATGATTTAAATTTAAAAATGATCTCACCCAACTACATTTCTTTTATCATACTCATTCATATTCAACAGAAGCTCTTAAAGAACTTTATTTATACTAATTGACGAATTTTATAAAAACGTATAATACCTATATAACTATTAGTGCATGGTATTTTTTTTAAACAATAATAGAATGATTGTATTATGAATATTATATGGAATAATAATATTTTATAGATATTCGCAACCTTAGTTATTTTTGTGTGAGTTTGTATATTATGTTTTGGAACAAATAATAATGATTAATAAAATGTTAGTAAAATTTCATAATAACTTTAATGGCAATAATGTAGTGTGCCCTAAGGTTTTTTGTGGTTCCGATTATAAAGTTTTTCGTCACATCTTACTACTTTTATGCTTATAAAGTAAATAATAATAATATTTATTAATGTGAAAATGTATCACTGTTTATTGATACATTACAAATAATCATCAAATGTATTTTTTTATCAACTGTAGCTCAATATTTTATAACAATAATTTTATGATGTTTCTTTACTTATTATTATTTGAATTTATTATTTCAGACTTTAAGTAGTATCTATACTAGAAGTAACATATTATTTTGACACTCTGTTCAAAAATTAACTTTTTTTTTCGAGTGTGCCATTAAATATTATAAAAAATAAGTATGTATGTATTATATACTATTATTAAAGTATTAATAAAAATAAGTTAATATTTAAATAAATATATAATTACATTACTTTGATAATTATTCATCATTTTAATGTGATTTATTTTGTTGAATTGTCAATTCGTTAATATTTGGTTAATAATTATTAACTTTTAATAAAGTTCATGCGGCACTATCAAGCCATCTATCTAACCATCAATGAGTTAGTTTTTCTGAATCAGATTTTATAAACTAATTTTCTTAAATGGTGACTCATATGAATAAGTTGAATAAAAATAGACACTAATATTACTATCATAGGCGCAAATAGGGCTAAGCTCATCTAATATGAATTCAACCCCCGGATTTATTATCATTTTATATCGTATAAATTTATTATTTTATATGATTGTGATTTTTTAAATTTAATTGGCATTCGTGTAGCAGGTGATATACCGGGGGATAGGTGATCTGCGAATTCAGGACGAGTTATCTACGTTTTAATAGTTGAAAACAGATTATATTTTTTACTACGAGTATGTCATATCATACAAATATTCGTAAAATATAAAAATAAAAAAAATAATTAGCCAAATATAATTATAATTTCAATTACAGTAAACATTTTATAAAATTCAGACGCACGCATTATAGACAAACTCCGACCAATAAACAATTTGAAAGTAACCTATCCAACAAAATTGCTAATGAATCGTGTTATATTGTAAATGTCATTAATCGTTATCACAATACTGTCCCACTGCGGTCTACGATAATTTACGTATAATAATAGTATAATAATAATCATGGTTCGGATTTTATAGCATTCGCTACTTATAATAGGATAAAGATAAAGATAGCAGAGTGAGATATTCATTTGTGTTATTAATCAGGGACTCCAAATATGAAATTTTATTTTGCTAATTTTTGCATATTTGAAGTATTTTAGATTTTTAATGCTAATTTTGAAGTTTTAGTGATATTTTTTGCTAATATACATGATTTTATACTTTATTTTGTATTTTTCATAAATCTCGTTTATATTTAATGAAAATTTATTCATTTAGATGAATTCAAAAATTCCCACATTTTTGTTTCATATTGATAATTGATAAATAATAGGGTATTTATTATTTAACATGTTACTAGAATCTATTTTTAAGTAGCCTGACGATATCAAATATATTTATTCATTTATGCCGTCTTATCTGTTTTATTTATTTTTATTATATTATTGTTCTACTATATATTATCGTCTATCGTACGTATTTCATGCTTTCAGTGTCAGTTCTCCGTATTGTTTGATTTTGTTTCATATTCGTTTATTACTCGATTGTATATTATTTGTTTTTCTATTTCGATACTTAACGTAAAACGCCGAAAGTCAAAACATCGAACTATTCGAGACTTAGATATTATTATAAGACTTAGATATGTGTCTGAGTTTGGTGGCAATGATGTTTTTACGATTGACGCAAGTATTCTATTTTGCAAATTGTGTGAATGTAAAGTTATTTTTTGTCATATTATAGCGCATATTTTAGTATTTTCGGTGCTATTAAATCCGAACCCTGATAATAATAAATGTAGATCACCAACTATACCTTGTATAATATGGTACACCTGAAATAATATCACACCTGATACACCTAAAAAGAGGCGGTAGATAATCTGCTACACGAATACCATTTAATTAAGTTTTTATCTTACACCATTACAGCTCTTAGTGATTCTAACTAATAATAATAATTTAATGATAATTTTGGATCATTAAAAGGTATAGGGACAAAGCCTGAAATTATAATTTTTATAATAATAATTTAAAAATGGTAAGGCTGAAGGCCTTACCATTGAAATCCCCTATTTGCGCCTTTGACTACTATGTTGCATCATGTAATGTTAGTATGTTATATACGTTAGGACATTTTCTGTAAGACATCAACAATAGTAAAAAGGTACTAATATTATGATGTTGTAATTTATTATTATCGATAAAAATATAATATAAATATTTAAATTTTTTGTGTGCCCTCAAAATTGTTTTTGTGTTCCATGGGTTTTTCATGCCTGATATATGCTATCCCAATGGGGACAGTGTCCCATATGCATTCAAATATTCTTGAAGATCGTTGTGTTATAATCTAAAACTGAATGCGTTTATATTAAAAATACATTTACAATTACATTTAAAATGAAATAAATATTTTGAAATAATCATTAATGTGATTCAGGAATAGCACAACTGAGATTCATAGGACTTAAGATGAGACAGTTCTGACGAGAACGTCATCAGTTACATAAAATTAGTGAAACATGAATACTCGTTATATACTGTTTCATTTAAATTTAATACTATATATTAAATACTATATTACGAGAAATGAATACGTAAAATCTAAGTATAGAATTAAGTAAAAAATTCGTGTATAAACTAAATGTTAGAATCTCCTACAAGTTTCCAAAAAGAAATAAAGAAAGTAAAAAAAAATAACTATGTACCTAACCAAATCATGAGTATACGTATAAGTATAGATCGATGAGTAACCAAACAAGCAGAAGGTATTATAATGCACTATAAAAATCATTTGACTTATTGGAGATTTGATAACCATGACCGCTTTCATAATATTACTTACAATTGTAAAATATGTAATATTATACTCGTGTTATAATAACTTGATTTCCATTTTAGACCTCTTCGAATGTATATCTTATCTTAATATCACGAATCATTTTTCCCCCTTTTAGTTTGAGTTTTTTTTTTCATTGAACATGCACCCCACCGAAATCTACTGCTATAGTTATTGTAACGAGCGATTCGTAAATATTTAGAATTTTCATTTCATCATTGTATGTGCTTATAAAATGCTTAAGATCTATCGTGTATTTACTTCCAATCGTCAGACAGATCATATAACAGCTAGAAAATACATTCATTATTTTTGTGTATTTACTAATATAAAAATAGCAATTATTTAATTCACTGAATCAAATTTTAAAAATGATACATCGTAACTGTAATTAAAGTATGTATTGTATCGTAAAAATATAAAAAAAATATCATACACACGACACAGAATGTAACGGATACCAGTAAGAAGAATAACAATTTAATCAAACGTTATAAATGTTATGACGGAGCATTGATAGCTGTGACGTAAAATTTGAAAGAACCGTGTATGTGTACGCACGGGTACGTACTGCGATTACGAGGTGAAAAAATCTAAACACACTTTTAATAACTTCTGAATAAAGGATACAACGAATTTGTAGTAACAATTATGAAAATAGCCCTACATTTTATTTCCGTCACTGCAGAATGATCGTTAGCCTTTTTCTACCCAAGTCTGTCGCACATGTATATATATATATATATATATACTGTATACACATAATAAGTTCTGCAGGGGTAGCGCGTGAAAATGATGATATCGAAAAATAAACGATTAATATTTCGCAGGACGCACATGATTTGCGCACGACTATTGGTTACCGGTCCTCCGCCCGCTAAACGAATCGCACGGGCGCACGGCGGCATGCAGAGTTGTTCGATTTTTTCGCTCGTTCGAAACGTGCGAGCGGGTGGTGTTTGCGTGCTAGTACGGTATGCACGTGCACGTGTATGTGTACGGGCGCAATATTTCTCCACGGTCGCGCGTCTGTGCGTGCAGCGTACCCCATGTGTGCAATAATAATGTACACTTATAGCTTGCCGGGGAGCGTTCAGTCTCGCGCACGGATTTAATACGCACGCACGCGCTTATGTGTGTGTATATTATTATTGTTGAAACGAGCGGACGCGATAAGGGTGCGGTGCGCGGGTGCACGGAGGAGGGTGGAGGGGGTGGCAAATGAAATACTCATGAAAACAATCTGAACGACAACCATTATTCACGCCGTTAAATCCTTAATATCGTTGCTATTAGTTTGCGCGCGTCCGCCGCGGATATAAACGACAACGCGCGCAGGATAATGTACAATATACACGCGGGAGGATGGCGCAGCAGTGGACGGAACGGGCGCGCGTGCGTACGGAAAACCCACCCGTCCGCGCGAATCCGATGCCACGCCCTCCGACCCCCCTGCTGAAGGGCAGCGAGTGCAGGACGTCGAGGAAATCAATTGTCGGGAGCGACAACGCGAGGACGCGCGCGCGCGTTCCGCTGCGGAGGGCGTGTGCATAGCGCGAAAATGGGAGTGGGCCAATAGTCGGAAGGGATGACGTGCGTGGCTGACACCGAGGAAGGTCGGGGCGCGGCGATGGTATCCTCGAGGGGCCCATGAGTCCCGTTTCACAGCACGATAATATACCTTATTATAACGCATTCGCGCGCGCCACCGATTTATATACATATATACGTGTATTATATGCGCGTATAATGTAGTCAAACGTTTTGCACGGCAGACGAGGATACCCTCTGCGAAGAGAGAAAGAGAGACAGAGAGAGAGAGAGAGAGAGTGAGAGAGTGAGAGAGGCAGAGTAAACGAAAGGGATGATTGGAAGGAGAGGAACAGATACCGTCGTCAGCCAAACCGGAAAGGACGTTCAATATTAAAAACCGATTTACTCTCCTTTGCCGCCGCCTGCTGCTCCCCAGCCGCCGGCGGACCACGTTTATTAAGCTCGTCCATCGCCCGCCCCCAACGCCGACTGCTGTACCGTTGTCGCCTACCACTGGCCGTTGCTACTGCTGCTACTGCTGTTTTGCCGCTGCCGCTGGACCATCGCTTCCGCTGCTTCCGCTTCTGTGCGTCGCTGCGGATCCGTTGGTCGACACGCGTCACGTCCGATAATATCTTACTGCCGTCGCTCGCACGTCCGCACGGATCATCCACAGGCGCGCGGCGCGCTAACGACAGTCCGTATACACACGCGCGACACGCTCGTCGTCGCAGCACCGCAGTCCTGTACGCCGCGTCCGTTGCCACCGGTCGTTTTTGTCGTCGCCGCAGCCTTCTCACCGGAACTGATCGTACACCGTGGTCGTCGCGTCACTGTCACGTACCGTGAGTATAACATTACATGACCTACGTGTGCTTATACGATTTTCTTGCACGCTCGTAACACTTGTCCCGTTCTGTCTCGTTCTGTACTGTCATCACGTCGAAACGGTCCCCGGCAAACGTACCCCGCCGTTGCACGCCACTGATAATTTGTCACGACGTGATCGTGCCGCCACCCAGTCTTCAAATCTTCAATGACCGAAAAACGCGCGGCCTCGAGCCTCCACGGCCGATAGTTGCCCAATCGGTTGATATCCGTTTCCGTTCCAGTAAAACGTAATTACTCTTAATGCATTAATCGTATTTCCCCCTCCCCAAATTTGACTTTTTTTATCACAGGTTTTGCATCCAAATGATTTTTTACACATCTGCTGAGAACGCAATGCATATCTATAAAACCTAAGCTTTATCTGTAAAACAAAACAAAAAAAATTTAAAATTTCTTGGTTTTACGTTTCACACACGATTTCTAATTTGTAAACGCCTAGTTTAAAGTGTACTTACGTTTTTGCAAAATCATGTTTTCATTTTAAAATATAATTTTTATGTCCTCCTAGTCGAAGCTATTTTCTTCATTGAATCGTTCTGTAACCGTTGACCACTAATTTTTTTCTATCTTCCACATTTGTCTTAGATGTCATTCAAATTACTTCTCAATTCGTTCATTTTCGAAAAAATGTATAAACACTTAAATTTTAGGAGTATAATTTTATTTCGATTTATAAATCGTTTCGTTATATACTCGATTAATAATTATCATTATTAATAGTAGCCGTGACATTTCTTTATCAGGTGTTTATACCTCTAATATTGTATGTGTTCATGTACACTTACGTATGTATTCTGAACAATTCATATATATATATCATTGAATTATATGAATTATGAGAAGGTTACCAGTTTCTAAAAAATATCTAGTATCATTATATTCAAATGATTAGTAATCTTGATCCACAAAAATATTATTGGTTGAGTTCAAATTACAATCACAGGACAACAAGAAATAATACTCGAACGAATTGTAAACACAAATCTCAACTTATAAATCCAGATAAGTCAATATATGTAAATTAGTAATACGTAATGATTGTAAATAAGTGTATAGTATCGAACAAATGTGATTACTCATTATAGATTAAACAGTAAACATACTTGAAATTGATTTTATTGGAATTAAAACACTAAAAAACTGTGGAGTAATATAAATATATATATATATATATATATATTGATAATTGAGCTAAAATCTTGTTAACCGTGTTTTTATTATATTATAATTTAAACAAATGTTATTTACATTTATTTATTTATATTATGTTTAGATAAAAAGTTAAGTATCTCTATGCTAATAAGACAAGTTATCGGATGATTAAAATTACATTTTTAATACTTTTTAAATTCATTAATAAATTGATTTACTGATGAATAGCTTTAAATTACCAAAGTATCTTTTTCTAGCAAGTTTTAAAACATAATTAGTAGAGTTAACATTAAAAATATATTGATTATTTTATATTATAAAAATTATACTTATATATGTATACAACTACAATGCGATAAATACGTTAAGTAAAAGGATAATTATTTCAAAATAAATGATAACTAATTTTTAAGTGTTTTATCGAATGAATTCATATATTACTCATACTAAATATACTGTAACTATATTAACTTAAAATGTAATGGATTAAAATTGTAAATTAAACTTGATGTTATTTTGTTTAATTGACTGAAAACAAGTTATATTGTGTAATTAAGTTATTGATAGTAAATTAGGAATATTTTATACAAGAAACTTGTACAGACCTGTTCAAAATGATATTACACTGAATTTAATATGATATGAAAAAAAATACTTAAAAAATTGTAGGTATATAAAATATGTTTATACAAAAAAAAAACACACGAAGTATTAATTATTATTTAATAATTAAAAACTCACAACCATAAAAATTCATATAGGTAGAGATATAATACTATACATATTGATATATATAAAAAAAAACATGAACAGGTGATTGCATAAATAAATAAATTGTTCTTATAATTTTTAAATCAATATATTATTGATTTTGAAAACAATTTTGAGCCAAAAAGAATAAGTGTATTAGTTTTATTACTGAAGATAATTAACTTATTAAATCAATATAAGCACTTTATAATGTCATTATCAAATTTATGAAACCAATTTTAACTAAAAAAAAAAAAAATAGAAAAGTCTTATATTAGAGTTTTGTACTTTGATTTTATTTATTAATAAAATGCTTGCTTATTATAATATTATAATATATATAATGCAATAATAATAAAAATGATAAGAATCTACTTGGACCCCGTTAAATAAAATAATCATTATCATAGTTATGTCCGGTTCAATAAATGCGACAAACGAATTTGGTTCTTTCCAAATAATTAACTATTTTCTTTTTTTTTTAAGTTTTTTCTGATACAAAACACAATTAAATATATCCTAGTTATATGTGATAACATAATTTTTGATTTTGAGTGAACTCAATGAAGGGAGGGCTATTTGGTTTTACTATAATTTAAAACGAATTTCAATTAAATTATATTAGTTATTTTCTTTACTAAAAATATAATTTTATGAAATTATTATAAACTGGATTAGATAGCTGATGGAAGTTTGGTCCGATCCATTATGATATGTAAAATATATAAACCGTATGGGACAATACATTTTTTGATTAATTAATAACTTAATATCAGTGTCATCAAAACCGATAAACATTTTTTCTTAACTGCATTAAAATACTTTATTGAAATAGATTAAATGGATCTTCTATCTGATATAGATTTAAATCAGCTGATATTTAAACTTAAATCATTAAAACTATATTTATTTAGTAGCGCCAAACCCTGTGTTCAGGTTGGGCAAATGTACTATCTGATAATATTTCAGTGGTAATTGAGTTAATCCAGTCTCCAGTGGTTGGATAGGCAAGTTATTAGTTATTGTGAATTATAAACAAACACGGTTGGTAATCAACTCGTTGGTACACACTACCCAGTAGATTAATCCGCGTATCTTATTTAGCTATCTAATAATATAGTTAATAAAATGTAAATATTATTAGGCTCTAAATCCAATGGTGTGTCGGTAGTTAGGTGCCTCCGTTTTTTGAGAACAACCTCAACCTGAATTGTTTGGTTTCGAGTCTACTTTCGGCGCTACTATGTGTATCACAAATAAATAATACAATAAATTATTAAAATACAATTCTGATGACTGCAATATATAAATAATACATAATATAAACTCGAAATTAACAAGTACGAAGGTGTGTGAGATAACATTATATATGTTTGGATTTTACGAATGTTTGCTTATTATAATATAACAAGTACAATTATATATTCAATTTATGTTCGAGCTGTATTAAAATCGAAATAAAAATATAATTTTACTTTCACGGGTACAAGGTACTACAATATGTATTGCAAGACAATACTTCAAAATACGGTAGATATTGGTACACTAAGATGATTCTTATACTTTCGCGTGATTGGATTATATACTAGCACCTAACTGGATTCTTTTATAAATATATTATTACAACCCCTATAACTTGTTTATAGCCCGGAGGCCGAAATGGTATTCATCTAATATTTAGTTACATGTAGGCCCAATAATTGATGCATGAATGACTAGTCCGTTACAGATCTGGTAAGTATATATCCGAACGTAAAATGTAGGTACATATAATCAAATATAAGTTAAATGTATATTTTCACGGAAAATATTTATCATACGGATTGTGTGATTCCAATTTTATTTTTTAACAAACTACAATTTTATTTTATACAGTTCGATCAATAAATAAATGAAAAAGTACTGTTAATAATAACTGTTTAGTGGAGATATTGATTTTATATTATTTTTTATAAAATGTCGTAATCATCAAGATATATTATTGTCTATTAATAATTATAATGATTGTTATAAGTCTGCAAAATTTTTTTCGGCGATCACTTATTCAAGCTCAATTACATGAGTTGACATCATATTGTATTTTTAATCAATATGGTATCTATCTATATTTTATTAGTATAATTTTAAATAAATATATACCGTTTGATTGTTCTGTTGTGGAGAATGTAAAAGGACCCGATAGATAATCCAACGGTTTTATCAGAATTAAATTTGTACTATTAATACTTAATTGGACCATGATATCTTATATTATGCAAATGTATGTATTTATTTGTGGATTATTTATAATTATCAGGGTTCGGTACTTATTGCATTTGCATATTTTTGTTATTTATTGTTCAATATAGCAGTGTACAAAATAAATTTATTTTTTGATGCCATGATTTCAAATCTAAAAATTTAAATGTGTATATTTTTGCATATTTCATCGGTTTTTGCAGGAAAATGCTTATTTGTACTTTTTTGTGTTTATTTTGCATATTTTGATAAATTATTCAAATTTAAAAGTTAAAAATTATATAAATTTCAGAGGATCGAAAAAATAAAATATTAATACAATCGTACGTACCTATTTGTAAATATACACTTTACAGAAAGTGTGGTTCTAGGGAATTATTTTTTTAGGTGGGGCAAGATCTAAGATAAAAGCTTAAAAAAAACACATTTTAAATAACGAGTTCTAGGCGTCTACCTTAGCAAGAGTATCTAACATTTCATATATGTTATTATTCAATTTATCTATGTGCGTATATTCGAGAATGACTGAAGAATTTATGTTTAATAAATTTTATTAAATATAAATTCTTCAGTCGTTCTCGAACGAAGTCATGTTTTTACTCTTCTTAGAATTTAAAAACTTCTTTTTACAGTAGTGATGTTTACTGTAGAGTTGTCAATAAATGTCCTAATGTTTTTAAACATTTTTAGAATTAGAAAAAATTATTAGTTTTATTTAAGGGAATTCTTAACCCTGAGGGGGGGCTGTAACTCCCTCATTCCTTCGGAGCCGTGCCTGATTTAAATTTCAATATTATTTTCGTGTTGAAAAAATAACTTTATTTTAAGGAAATACGGTCTGTATCTGCTGTACTCCTCAATGTAATTATAAAATATTCATGTGTGGTTAAAGGATAAACATAATTCGGACAGATAGTGGTCGATAATAATAAAGTTATTTTATAATTTCAATTAAAATTAAAAACTAGGAAGGTACCTATTTCAAGAAATTGAGAAATTTTTAATTAAGTATATGATTATTTATTATCTTTTACATTTTTAATACTAATTAATAATTATTAATAATAAATATACTAAATTCATATTTTACTGTTTTTTAGTGCATATTTTATTGTTTATTACTGTGTTTTATAATTTTTTTATAAGTTCCAAATCTAATAATTATAAATCGAATTATCTACATTTGTATTTTATTTAGTTTCCCGATATGAGTTATTATAAGTTTATAAAACATATTTATACGAATATGAACATTTGATAGTAAAATACAATTTACGTTGTGGATATTAAATCCTGCCAATGTATCACTATATTATCATTTATGTTGCTTAGATTACTATTTACTATTCTCGAATATTTGATGGATTATAAGATATATACGATATAAATACTTATCTGTATATTTGGTTCTTAAATAAATGATGGTCTAAAATATTGCCTAGTCTAAATTTATACTAAATAAAAATATGCTTCTAATTATAAGTTGATTTGTGTTGTACCTACATTATATAAATATAAAATAACTTATTAAATTTTTGTTAATTTGAAAATTATTCATGTATAATTAAACAAAATACATAATATTTTATGGAGAATTCTATGGCAAATTATAAAAATTATATTGTTTCTTCTATTACGTACAAACTCGTGAATGTAATTTATTATATAAAATATAAGTGATACAATTTATGAAATTTACTTAAATCAAAAAAAAATATATATATATATATATATACATATTTATTTTTATCAGTTTAATGTTTTCATAATATCATTTTTTAGAACTCAAACACTTAAAATAATAATAAGAACACTACTTTTTGTTTTTAGTTTTATTATCCAATCAGTTTACTTCCTATAATAATTATATTGTTAGTTATAACAATCATAATTTGTCCTACACTCATAAATCACATTTAGACACAATTTTTCAATGATGTTTTGGTTCAATTTTGAAAATATGCAATTTTGTGCATTCCCCATGGGAATACAATTTAATAAATCTAAACCTTTACACAGCACTGATCTTACAATATTTTGTTAATTTATTTGTTACTTACTTGAAATAAAAAAATAGCTTCAACATTTTATCTTTAATACCAATTTATGCATAAAGGAAATATTTAACGTTATAAAATCATCTTGATATAATTATTATTCTCTTAATAATTCTAAAAATAATTTAAATATAATTTATATAATATTTTTACTTTTAAAAAAATTTTAACTTTTACTTTTTTTTTTTATGTACCTAAACAAATTTTTGTTTAGGGTAAAACTTTATTATATGTGTAAGTTTTACTGACACGGGTATTTTAGGTATTCTGTATTTAATAAGCATTTTGAATAAACATAATTTAAAATGTTTTTGAAATTTTATTAATGTACATACTAAATTATATGCTCACTGAAAAACAATTTCTCGTTTATAATTTATTAATGTCGTTTATTCGACTATAATATAATTTTCATCTAATAAATATCGAACTATGAAAACATCGGTTTGTTTTGTTATTAAATTATTCATTCTCGATATTAAATTTGTAATAATTGGAGCTTAATGAACAATTATTAAGGAATACATTTAAAATAAGTTTTTTCACTAACACATACTATAATGCAATCAAATTATGTCAGTAATGGAATAAAATTAGTATTTCAATACACTTTACCATGAACATTATAATACTTATACAAATAAGGTAATTTTTCCAATGAGGCTTTTTAATGATACATTTTCATATTTTTACTTTTAGAGTCTACTGTTTATACAATAATAGTTTATTTTTAATTAGGTATTTTATAAATTGAAACAACTAAAATAAGACTTTTATATGATTTTAGACATGCGTAAATAACGTATGAATTTAATTCAGACCCACTCGCATACATTTTAACACATTCAAATTTTAAATAAATACCTTCAAATTCAAGTGTTGCTGGATAAATGAAACATTATATGTATAATGATAGAAAAAAAGCGTCCGTCTGCGTTCTATATACACATTTAACCCTTTTATTTCTTTCACTTTTACCAGTTGTGAGTCTTGGACTTAAATTAAAAATATTTGCCACATATTAACAATGGCAAAACTATAAATATTTGTAAGATAAATTCGACAATAGTGCTATAGAAATAACTCGTTAAAAAATCATATCATTACATTACTATTATTAATATTATATTTATATTATATTATACTTTATAATTTACAGAAATCGACTAATTTTATGAAAAAGATAACATATTACCCACCAATGATATATTACCCAGAGTGATATGTAGTATTGTAAATATACTCGTAAGTAAATTAAATAAATAATTAGTAAAATAATAGTAATATTAATATTTATAAAATATTATTATTTATTATAAAATATAAAAATATATTAATATATTGTACACACAATGATATTGATGATATTGTATTAATACATTTTAAAGTAAATTATAATTAATTTTAATAAATTTACAATGTATTAAATTATTATGGTCAAAATATTAATAAAATTCCTTAACTATTGTCTAATTTAAATACAGCGTATTCTCCATATAGTGTATTTCATTATTACTATTTACTCTCATAGTATATTAATATTGTTTTGATTTCAGTAATTCAACAAACGATAAAAATGTCTTTCCATGGTATCTTTTATAAATATCTCCAATAGTGAAGTAAATGGAATATAAATAGTATAATAAAATATACAATAAAATTAGATAAACAACTGGGAAACTTGAATACGAAAAATGGTAAAAACGTATTAAATTATATCCCATAAAGTGTCTAAGTACAAAGTTTTAGATTATTTAATATAAATAAAAACAACTTTATATAACTTTTATTACTAAGAACTAAACTGATCGTGAGCATAATAGTTTTTAAATTGGATAAGCGAAGTGAATGAAAATAAAACAATAATTACATGATATTCGAAATAAATTTTATCTAGTATGATTTATATAATATATTATGTATATATAATAATGCATGATTAATTTTTGTAGAATTCAAGGGACTTATTTTAATTTTATGAACCTTATAAATACCATTATCAGTAGGTCATAATATTTATATTTAATATTTGTAGTTAATTTAATGTTTTATAAGTCTATTATATGATCTATTCCAGATCTTCCAAGTATAAAGATATATATATATATATTTTTTTGTACTATACATTTATTTATTTATTTTAATTATTTATTAATTAAGTAATTTTAATATGTCTTCATGAAAAAAATTAAATATTAAACGGCAATGAATGATGACAATTCACAAATAATTAATCTAAATATTGATCATCATGAATAGATAATATATTGTTAGTTTTTTTTATGTATTTCAGTCAATCTGTAAAACTGTAATGGTTTGTAATGAAAATACACAATCATTGAACGAGAAATGCACAACTCAACATATGCCTGTTTGTCAAGATCGAATAGTGCAAATCAAGCATTGACTGAACAGGAAAGCGTAGAACGCCAAAACAATTTAATGTTTACTAAATTGCCATTACCTAAATTAGAAAATGATTTACAAAACTATAATTTGAGATTGGACACGAGACCAAACTCAGAACAAAATAAAGGTAAGTTAATATTGTAAATACCTACTTAATGGCTCATAGATATATAATCAAATAAGTTGTAATCATAAAGTAAAAATAATCACTTAAAATCATACAACTATTTTAATTGGAACGACATTTTTCAAAAAGTTATCATAACTTCATTGTATTTATTTTTTACAACATTTCTCTTGAATTATTTCTTGTGTTCAATTTGTAATTATACTTATATCTTTTATTCAGAATTAAAAAAGTAACTGAACATATTTTAGATTATACAAATTAATTATGTTTATCACATTTCTTTCCATATCTTAACCACCATCCCTTAGAAAATCGTATTACTATATATGTAAGATTTTAATAGTAATGCACGAGTATTTACAGTAGTTATTAGTTATGATATTGAATAAATGATGATAAAATATAATAAACCTAAACTATTGTTTTAATATTTCTATAAATATTATGATAAATAAAATATATAATTAAATATTATAAAGTGATAATAATTAAAACACGAATTTTTGATTAGATGGTTCAACCGACCAAACCATTAGACGATACAGAACAGCTTTCACTAGAGAACAGTTACTCAGATTAGAAAAAGAATTTTACAAAGAAAATTATGTGTCCCGGCCAAGAAGATGTGAGCTGGCCACTGAATTAAATCTTCCCGAATCGACAATAAAGGTATGTGTGATTGCCGTACAATTTTTAGTCTAAACAATGTAGTGAAATAGGTACTAAGTGCTATTTAAGTGCAATTATTACTATCACCTATCGCAAATCTACCAATCTAATACTATTATAACGATGATAACTGTATTCAAAGTCAAGCTATATATTTAACAGATACCTACTAGATATTGTTGATTTAATTTTTTAAATTCTATCCGATTACATGGAAATACGATTTTTCTTATACGAATTAATTACAATTTATTACATCATAAAATTTAAGTATTGAATATTGACCAGATAGCATTTGTATATTAAAACTTCATTTTAGAAACCCTTTATAAAAAGTTACATGAATATTACATATAATTACAACAAAATCATATTTTTCAGTCCATAATGAACGATTATTAATAGTTATTGATTCATTGAGATAACATATGGGTAATGCATTTAGTATATATGACGGGGATTTTAAAATAAAAGTTTCTATATTCTTGGTATGCTCATAAATAATTTTAAATTGATTTATCTAATTTTATGGCTTAATATAATTGCGTCCAGTGGACATTTTTTAGGCTAAACACTCCTTACTCATCCCGAAAGAGTATAAGTTGAACAATAATTCTCCTTAAGTTCAAATATAACTAAAATAAGTATATATTTATTACCTGTTGTTATATGTTACTCTGTTAATTGTCGTTTGGTGTAAATATAAATAAAATTACAATTACAATATATAAATAAAGTATAATAAGGTTCTATGATGCTTCATATGTTCAGATACATTAAGGGATCGGATTTTTCTATTGGTTTTTTAACGTGATTAATTTTGTGGTGCGTTGACCAATGTTAACAGCAGAAATAAGTAGCTAATCACATAAAAAAAAACTACCAAACAATTTGTAATTTAATTGATTTAAATTCAATGAGAATAATCAAATAATTTAAAGATTCCTTTTTTCGTTTAATTTAAGTGGTAACTTGATCTATCATAAAAATTTCTAATCTTAATTTTTATTACCATTTCACTATAGTTTACTGTTAACAACGTAAACAGGAATTATTTATAATTATAATTATTTATCATGTAATTATATTGTATATTATGTACGTTTGCATTCATAACGAACTTTAATTTTCCCTGATGACACAATATTATAACACTCTTAAGTTGTGCATCTATACGTCATTGAATGGGCCAATTCTTCCTCCGGCTGATAAGAAAAACAAGCTTTTGCAAATAAATGTAATTTATATGTGTTTTTCGGATACTGATTCCAGGTTTGGTTTCAAAATCGAAGGATGAAGGATAAACGTCAAAGGATTGCCATGGCGTGGCCATACGCCGTGTACACGGACCCCACATTCGCAGCCACAGTGTTGCAAGCGGCTGCGGCTAGCGCTCACGCCAACGGCACGCTGCCCGACATAGCGGCCATCGCCAACGCTTACCAGTACTCGGCAGCCGCAGCGGCCGCGGCCGCGGGTCCGTCGTACTTCCACGGCGCCGCCGGTACAGGTGGCGGTGGTGCCGGCGATTACGGTAAGTTCCAACCGCAGCACTACGTCGGCCCGGTGCCACCGGGACCGGGACCGGGACCACCGACGCATTCACTGCAGCAAATGATGAAGAAACCGTTCGGTCCGTTCATCGGCCACCACCATCATCACCACCATCATCAGTTCGCGGCCACGGACGTGTCCTCGGCTGAGTGCAACAACGGGCACCATCACGCGGTGACGTCCGCTGGTTACGACGGTGCCAAGACCACGGCGGCCGCGGACCCGAAGGCTACGACGCCGATGACCACCGTGGACAGTAGTAACAAGACGTCTTCGTCGTCATCGTCGTCGGCCGCGGATGCCACGGACTTCACCGGTGCGGCCACCGGTACGAGTTGCAAGTGCGGCATAGTGGACTGCGTGTTGACTACTAACGGCAAGCCGGCCAACGGTATCGGTGGTAGCGGTGGTATGGGAGCGTCAACACCTCCGGCCACAGTCGATCGGTTGCCGCCACCGCCGCTGCAACCGCCACCAGCTTCCGTGCAGTCGTTTTTCATGACTTCCGGTGGTGCACCGGAAACCGGCAGGGACGACTTACAGTCGGCTGAATGTTCGTTGGCCGTTCACAAGCACGTCTATCACAAGGAGTTTACTAAGAACAAGTTGTTTCAGCCTTACAAACCGGACGTCACAACCGCGAAGCTTAACTTGTAATTCACGAACAACTGCATTTGCACTTCGATCGCGGCGACAATGCATCGAAAATTATTTGATTGGAGCCCAACCAAACCATCAGAAAATTATTTTCTCCTTACACCGTTTTTATTTTTATTCCTCTCCGCGTGCAGCGTTATACGATTTATGAAGTTCGTTTGAATTATAAAAATCATTGACCGTTTAGATCGTGATAATTCCAATATAATAACTTGTGCTATAACGTTTTATGAAGGTCTCTTCCCATGCGCAAAAGAAAAATCTAAGTTTTTAGATCTGTCAATTAATATTAATGTCATTTATGCCACAATGGAATAAATAGTTTATTGATGGCTATTATTTTATTCTCGTCAAAGTTCATACGAGAGATGGCAAATTTGAAACACATCATTAGTCGTTGGATTCGATGAGGGCACAGTTTTTGACGTAATTATATTATTTATATTCTCATTTTTTTAACTGATAATAGTGTTATAATAATCTCATTCATATATATTTTTACAGTATAATTCGGGTAAAATTTTAAAAAACTAATTTATTCAATTATATTGCTTATAGCTTGTGTACAATAATAAAACATTTATGTGGTCTGAGACGCGGAGACTTCGACCGTGCTCTCAAACAGTTGGTACGTGATACATGGAAGATATTAATATTCTGTCATATCTAATCATAACTGTTATAACGCAAACGTATTGAAGTCAGTACTGGAAATAAGGTTAGCATATTTTTTTGTAGAGACTGGCGTGAGGGTTATTAATCCTAAGTGTTTAAACAATTTTTATTCACATTGTCTTATTACAATTTTCAAGACGTTCACAATTTCGGCTTACATTAAAATAAGCTCTTTTACACGATCAAAATGAAGTGTAAAATTCACAAATGTTTATAAATAAACTGATTAAAATAAATGTATTTAATATATCGGTTTTGTTTTATTTAAAATATTGAACAGAACAATATACAATTGTAAACAATATAAAAAACCATATTATTATAGCACTTTGACGACGTTGTACTCGCGGGTTATTTTATTTTAGATAACTTAAAGCTTTATTTTATGTAGTTTCTTAATTTATTGATTGTTCAAACGATCATCTATTTTTACAATCGAATTCATTACATATTTCATTTACGATCTTTAGAAATTCAGTTCAAAATAACTACTTAAAATATTACTTAGTGCATAGAAAACATAAAAAAGAATAACCTGATTTTCCCTGTCCATAAAATATATGATAATCTATTAAGTACAATATTTGAGTGCATGAAACGTTTTTTTCGAATATAGCATAATAATAATTTAACCATTAATATAATAAAGTAATAATAAAAGTTTTTTGATCGTTTGTCAAATTTCAACAATTTGTGCCATATCCTATATGAAACTTGTCAAATATCACTTCAAAATTACTCGTTACACATTAATTTCAAGTACTAATGTTATCTTCAAACGATAATACTTTTATTATTTATATTTATATTAATATTATTTTTATTATTACTTATTATCAATTGTACTATAGCAAATTTGACAATTTCAAAAATAAAATTTCACGTACAATCAGTTTTTATATCATGAATTAATTTACTGTTGTTTTCCATTTATGTGGGTTCATTTATTTTACTCTCTTGTAAATATCAAAATAATACCAAAGACATGCGTGTTTAAGTACAAACATTTTATGAAAAAACTTTGTATCTACAATAACACCGAAAACAAATGTAACAATGTTCCTCTACGTTAAATTTAATAAGTTATTTTATAATTTATTTTTACAAGTAAAATTTATATAATCATGCAAATTTAGTATCTGTACAAATAATTATTAAACATTACTGCATAACTTGGTTTTCTGACATGTTTCTAAAATCTCTAATCCTTAAGGGTTTAAACTATAGAGCAACAATAATATTTTCAGTCCTAAAGTATTTATTCGAAAAAATATAGATAACTATTTTAGTCCAAGATAATATAAAAGTATATATTTCTGTAGAAGATTTATGTAAAAGGCGGTTGGACGTAAAAAAGAATAAATTAACATAATTAGAGAAAGATAAATGATGTATTTTTTTTGAGTTCAGTGGCGAAGCATGGAAGAGGTTGTCGTACAGGGTAGATACCTAATATTTTTAAGTCGTTGTAAAAACATATTTAAATAAGTAATTATATTAGTAAACAGTGTAATATAAAAAATATTCTTTGCGCAACTATTTTTTATATATCAAAACAAAATTTTTACCAAGAGTTAATACTCTTAATAATATATATTGTTTTTACAATAAATAACATGTATGGCAACTATGATATATTCCTACTGGCTACGATTCTTATTGAAAAACTCATACATTTTTTAGATTTCATGACTTGAAGGTAGATATTTAGTTAATAAAAAATTTTGAATTTTATAATAAATAATAATGCAGGATTACAATGTACAATGTACAAAGTGATTTTAAGTATTCCCGGTTTCATTCAGTGAAATAAATGTTATTGTTCTGGAAACTTTTAAGCGTATAATATGATTCTATATAATTTTTCATTTGTATCCCTATTTTATGCTTCTATTATTAAAGTATAAACATTTTATTTTTCAATATAAATCTATGGTTTTATATTAGAATAATCAGATATTGGTTTTCTGTATATTTTTTTTTCATTGAATACCCAAACAAGAATTTAAAATAAACAAAAACATTCAATCCAGACTATAAAATGGTGATGTTTCAACTTTGATAAATTACGACTTTTGAGCCACTTAGCGCCATATTAGTGCCAATAGAGTAAATTATATTGTAACCCAGATTTTAGGGTAGGATTTTGCGAACAATATGTTAGCTACATTTCTTGTTCTTATACTTGGAGTTAAGAGAGTTTATTTTTATATTTCCAGACTATAAAATAGTTTTCTACTGTATTGATTTAATTTTATAATCATATTTAAATTTTAAATTTATGAGTACGCATAACTAAGTTAATTTAATTGTAACAATGATATTAAGATAAATTCAAACATTAAAAACGAGTTAACATGTTTAATTGTATTAACAACATTGTTTACTGTTAATTATAACAGAGATAATAGACTTGTAATCTTATTTAAACATAATATTCATATTTTTTCAAACCGATTTCATAATTAGATTTAAAACAGAGAAATAGTATCAAAGCATATATATAAAATTAGTTGTTGCGTTATTCAAAGCCAGTTCTAAGTGTATTATATATAGATTATTTGCAAGACCCTACACTAAAATGAGTTGTTTTATTATTTTTTCTTATTGGTACCATTATGGTAAATAACTATTGTGTTTAAATGGTTTTCAATATTAATTTATATGAACAATTTGCATTTAGTTCTATGATTGAGATATTTTTTGTTTACTTGAAATTATTGTTACAGTATGGCATTATTTAAAAAAACTACAACTTTAGATCAACGCAAAAAGAAATATTCATTTCTGTTATAAAGTAATCAAGTTTGAATATCATACAAAAGAGTTTTGATTTATGAATATTTCCATCATGTATTTGAAAAAATCTAATATTTTATTAAAATTTATAATAAAATAGGCTAATATTTTCTTTCTGAAGTCGCATCGCCATGTCATCGTCACTGCAGAAAAGTGCTTTAGACTCTATTAATACAGATTACGATAGATTCAAAAACTGAATCTTTTTTGAATTTTCATTACAAATAAAAACAAGTATATTCTTAATCTAAAACAGAACAGTATTTCACTAATTAACATTACATTTTTAAATACATACGATGATATTTTTATAAGTAATGATAATCAGGAATATATTGTAGGCACTACAGCCAAAGTACGTTAATGCACGTTAATAGTAGTCAACTTATTTAAAAATAATAACATTATAATACTATCAATCAATAAAAACAGATAATTATAGTATTAATAAATAAAATCAATGCAGATTTTAATTAAATATAAATTTCAAAACCTTGTGAATGAATATAATTTTTATGGATAAAAGTATATAACGATATAAAATGGTGTAACAATAAACCTAAATAATTAATTATATACTTTTCATATTTAAAGGAATGTATCTAGAAATTAATTTAGTTTCCTCTTTATTTGTAGATTCCTAGCTGTTATTGGTATAATTTAAGCTATTTAATCGACTTGAATTATTTTCTCTATTATACTACCTAACATTTTTATTTATTAGACAAAAAAGAAATGTTAACATAAATATTCAGTGCTTTAATTAATTAATACTTAATGTGCTTGAATTTATTTTTTAATGTGTTATATGATACCGACTGAAAGTATATAAATTGTAATTAGGTATATAAATTCATAATACGAAATTTGAATTTTAAATATATGCTAAACTATGGTCGAAAATAATTTATAAAAACTTTCTTAATTTTTTAAAACTTATAATATTATTGGATTTATACATAAGGTAAATCTAGATTATAAATATTTTTACAATTATTAGCTATGCATTATAAAGCAACTAGTCGATACATTTAAATTAGAATAAGAACTTAATTTAATATAATTGTAAATACATTACATTTAATTGTATATAGATATTATAAGAATATATAATACACAGTAAAACCTCGTTAAGATGGAACCCTGGTAACACGGACAATTTATTAAATATTTAAAATATAAGTTGTACATCATACATCATACACATACTGGCAAATAAAATTGTATATATTGAATTTATATTGAAAGTTATTCCTACTATTAATAAAAATAATACATAATACCCATTGAAGCAAAAAAAAAATAATCTTTAATCACAATTTTTTTTTTTTTTTGTGAACCCCGTCAAAACGGAAAAATTGAAAGGTCCGAAAGTGGTTCTATCTTAGAGAAATTTGACTGTAATTAAAATATTATTATTGTTAATTTAAGCATTTAAATAATTTTAATAGTTTGAATATTTGATTTCTATGTATAAGAAAATAAAATTAAAATTTGTATTATTATAGTATAACTTTAAGTAATTAGTTTATTAGTTGATATTTTGACGTGTAATGAAGAAAATTCAATTTTACCAGCTATCAATATAGTACATTTTTTTTTTTTTAATTTTTGCTTGGTAAGTTATTTAAACGTGTATAAAGTTTCTGTAGAGTTTAAATAATTTAAATTACTACTTTACTCAGTTATTATAATTATATTATATAATGGTTGAAAATTAATAGTTCGAATTGATTTTGCAATAAATCGTGTGTATATAGTTTTTAACAGTGTGCTATATTTTCCTATTCCATAAAGTATGATTTACAAAAATGTCCAAAACTCTATTTTGGCAATTAAATCAACTATAATACGCTAATCAAAGATAATTATTCTACATTAATTATTTAATTAAAAATTGAACGATAAATATTTTTTGAAATTTTACAAACTTTTGATACAAATATATGACATGAGAACAGATATTAGTAAATAATAGTATAATTTCAAGTATATTAACACACAATTTTATTAAAAATTATCTGTTAACCTATTTACTTGTATTTGTATATTTTATCTAATAAACATATTATGTTAGAACAAATATAAATTAATTATAAGTTTTAAAAATCAGGGTCATGAATTTAATTGAAGATTGTAATACATAGGTATTATATATTGCGTTTTATCATTAAGGTCTATATTTATCATCCAGAAATTAATTTTAGTTAGCGTAACTAAGGCAAAACTTTGAATTTAATATCGGCTATTATAGATGACACGGTAAGTATACTAAATGGTACATCTTATCTCACAAAAAAGTCATGAAGTTCAATCGTCTCTAGTGATTAAACATTTGAATATAGATACTCACTGTCAATATTAGATTTTAATAAAGGAAAATAACAAAATCAACAAACAATTTTAAGTAATAAGTATATTCTATAATTTTAATGCTGTTTTTAAAAATATCTCATATATTTAATACAGTAGATAAGTACATAATGTATATAATGTGTTCATGTTTAATGATTATAAATTGTGCTTAAAAATATTAAAACTTTCACCATTAAAAAGTACTTAAATATAATACAATTTTTTTAAAAATAATCATAAGTGTCGCAGTGAAAAGTAAAGCCTAACGATAAATAATTAATCGAAAAATGTGTATAACGTACGAAGAATAAAAAATAAAATATTTTCATACGAATAATTGTAATTCAATAATTTTAATTTCGAAATACGTTTAGTATGTTTATTATTTTTGACATGTTTTTTTTTAATATTCTATGATTTCAAGTACGAAATATCACATTTTACTAATATATAGTGTTTAAAGAGAATATTTATCTTCACAGTTCTAATTTATGAGATCAACAAGGTAATACATTATAATTAGATGCCTTATACATTAGGTTAACTCCCCATTATACACTTATAAACATAACATAAAGTAGCTATAAATATATATTTATAAGTTAGTGCCATAGTAATCGTTGTTACATAGAAGGAATTTTATTTTTCAGTGGTAGAATTACATCATGTATAAATCGTATCGTTGTATAAATATGTTCATTAGTTGACATTTAAAAAAGTGTATCAACTATAAATTGTCATAGTTTCTGCATAAATATAATACCGAACACTAGCATGCCATATTACTAAAATATTATTAAAGTATATTACTAAAAGTCATAAATAAAGTGCGGATTTATTTGTATTAAAAACTAACCAAATATGTGCTAAAACATTTTAAATATGAACAAATACATTTACTGCACTAAACCGTTAAAATATGAAAGAAAAACTACTTTTCTAAATTTTTTTAAAAAACAGATTTACCCCTTATATTACAATAACTAGTAAATATTTCAAAAATATCTAAAAAAAACAAAATAAAAAAATATCGAAGTATTCACTAAAAGATAAAATATGCAAAAAATGCACTAAAAAAGTTAAATTGTTATGTCATGAAACTAATTTTTTGCTAACTTAGCTTATCATAAGACCAACCAAAATAAATATGCAAATGCATAAAAATCCACCCTCTAGTCATAAGTTATGACTTGTAATTTGAATATCATAACTATTATAATATATATATTATATTTATTAATAACTGTAACCAGTATGAAAATTACAGTTCATTTTTCAATCGAATAAATACACTAATAAACAGAACATAATGTATGCAGATTGCTTCGATTGAAAAATATGTTATAGAAATATTATTAAAAATGATTGAATACCGTTCTATATAGTTATATAATACAAATAAATTTATAAATCAATCACAGCTAATACATTTATAACTTATAATCTACACAATATTATTATAGATTTCTTAATTGAGCAAAAGCATATTTTGTTATTAAGTTATGGAACTTCAATTAGAAAAAAACAATAGCAATTAAAGTTATAATTTTACATTATTATCAAGATATTTTATAGTACAATTTTCAAAACATCAATACTGTATTGAATCCAAGTGACCGATAAAATATTCCGTTTACGTAAGGCATCTAGAAACGAAACAAGTACGTTTGGTTGTATTAAATTTCATTTCAGGGGGAAAACTTATCAAATTATGGTACGTGTTAAAAAAGTAAAATGGATTTCAATACTTGACAATATTAATAAAATTATTGAAGTCCCATATCTTACGGTAATTAATAACTAAATATTTGCTATTTATTTAAATCATTAAAATGTTTTAACACAATCAATTAATGGTGAATAATTCTGTTATTTGACATAAGTCGTTTAAATACGTTTTTAAAATTATTCCAAATTAAACGGACTACAGGTGTTATTGCCAACTTCGTCAGTGACTTTTGTTTAAATTTATCGTAATGTACAAGAATAATATATTCTGAAAGATGAAAAACGGTTTTAGGGGTTTTTTGTAAACAAAAAATTGTGGTGTTTGCAATAACGCCAACGGAATGAAGCTTTTTACCATCACCCAACCAAAATTTAACATTTGTGTATTATTAACGTACACACTGCATATCATGTCCAACCTTTTTTTCATAATAACAAAGAACAACGTAATATTTATACGATGGAATATAAAATATTATATAAGCTCAAAGAAATTAAAATTAATTTCCAAACGTCACCGTTTTTTTCATATTTTTCCGTTTCCACACTTTACTCCACCACAGATATATACAGTTTGCAGTTAACATTTCTCGATTTTTAAAATATTCTACATAATTTCCTTAATATGTGTATAAAATGGTAAGTACTGATAATATCTTAATATAACACATAGCATAACGAAATCGGTTTTCCTTCGATCCGATAACGGCTGTCTGCGTGTTCTAAAATGTGTAACGGAGGGGGCGTAAAGAAATATTTAAATCAATATTAAATTAAAAATAATAATAAGTATCTATAGTTTAAATAACTTAGAAAATATTCTAAACTTAACATACTATCAGTAATAATTTAGAATTTCGGTGTACAATTTTACATAAATTATAATAATAATTGTACATCAACTTCACGAAGAAGAGTAGAGATAAATCTTACGTAAGTCGAACTACCTAATGGGGTTGATAATAATTTAATGGATACTAACTCTCAAATTCCAAACGTAAACCCGTTTGCGATTCCTGTGTACCAGTAATAATAAAGTCGAGCTATATTATCCGCAAAAGTCTACGACGTGATCGAAAGTTAACTTTATCCAAAAGTGTTGAAACTCGATTTGCTCGATTTCGACTAAGAAATGAAACCGTATTAACTAATATCTATAACGGAAACCAACTTCTAATATCGATATAATTTTGAATAATACCACAACGGATGTATCCGCGCAAACGTCGTGATAACCCGCGAGGACTGAAACGCGACTAAGACCATAATAACACTTCGTAGGGTAGTTTTATGTGATTTACAACTGCGTACAGAGGTACAACCGTAGTGGATGTCGAGATGAACAGCACACCGGTACGTGGAACGATCGCTTACAAGAGTGACGATGAAAGTGTTGCGACAAACGGCAGCAATAGGAACGCGACGGACGTGGAGGGACGAGGGATAGCGGGCATGGCGGCCGAATCTACGGTGAAGTTGGGACAGCACTGCTGTGATATGGCCAGCACTTTGGGATAATACTGGTTCCAGAAATCGGACTCCTGGTCGGGCAGTGACATGTTAGGCACCTTGTCCAGTGCCATGAACCGAGGCATGCGCGGCTGGAACTCGTCCCATCTGAAGTTGATAGGCGAGGACGTGCGGTGCGCCGGGTCCGAGTGCTTGGCAAAGTTCGTCCACAGTGCCATCATGGTGTCCGACATGCGCCGGTCCGCAGTCGTCCAGTCAATGGCCGCGGCCGCGGGCCAGTACGGCATGCCCCACACCATGGGAAGCTCGGCGCCGTGCGGCGCGTCCATCCACTCGGCCGCGGCCGGCAGCGCCTTGACCGCGCGTACCTTATACTCGTACCGATACACGTACGTCACATTGTACTTCGACACGTACGCGGCCACCCGATAGCTCGTGGCCCCGTATACCTTGTTGGCCAACATTGTCACGAAGTTGCGACGCAGCGTTTCCGCGTCGTCCGTCGGCTTTACGTACCGCAACACGATCGTGTCCGTCACGAAGTCCACGTTCATCGTACAGTTGCCACCGTCGTTACCATCCGCATCACCGCTCGCACCATCACCGCCGTCAGACGAACCGGCCGCTTCCTCGCTCGCGGCTGCCGCCGGCTGTTGCTGCTGCTGCTGCTGTTGCTGCTGCTGCCTCAGTTTCCGGTCTTCGGCCTCTTCGTCCAGCAACATGTCCCGCACCAACGTCTCGAACTTTTCCCTGGTGATACCGTCACCGCCATCATCACCACCGCCGCCACCATCCGTCCGGTCGAAAGCGTCGAACGCGTCCTCCATGCGGTTGTAGCCGATCATATGCGCGACCTGCGCGAACCGGCCGTTGTCCATGAGCGCGGCCGGCGCGTCGGGCAGGAACGGCTCGCGGCCATTGCTGTCGTTGACCAACGCCGGACCGTCGATTACCGGGCCCCAGCGAGTCAGCGATCCGCCCCCCTTGACCAGAGTCTCAGCTTCCACGTTGCGCAGGCATCCGGTCAACGTGTTTCGGAAGCAGTTGAACTTGTCGGCGAGCGCATCCAGCACATCGGACGGGCCCTCGGACGCCACGGCCGTCCGGAGCAGTGCGTTGCCGCTCATGCTGATCGCCCGGTGGAACTTGTCCCGGGAACCGGGCGACACCACGTGCAGGCCCACGCTCACCGCGCCCGCACCCTGCCCGAACACCGTCACGCTCTGCGCCGACCCGCCGAAGCTGTCAATATTCCGCTGAACCCAGTCCAGTGCGGCCGCCTGGTCCATCAGTCCCCAGTTGCCTGACGCACCCGCTGTGTTGTCCGTGTAGAAGCCCAATATGTTCAACCGGTACGCCGTGGTCACCACGATCACCTGCGACAAAACGATTGCTGATTAGGTGGTCCTTAAACAGCATTACACGCGTTCTGTTCGTGTAAACGCAACGCTATGTACCTAAACATAGCTCATTTTGTTTCCACCAACACGTGAATCATATAGATGCAAGTAGTGTATTGTTTAATTGTACATTATTTAAGATAGAGTTCAATTGGGATTTCAGTAACATGTTTTTTGTTTCTCCAAATAATTACTGATAAATCAGAATCTCCGATGATTTTGTATCAAAAATGTACCGTCGAAAGTTCGTTTCCTTTCATACCCTACTACAAACTACACATGTTAAGGTTAAACATTTTATCAAGCAATTCCTGCTCGAATTGTTTTTATTGTTTACATTGGGGTTTTTCACAATTAAGGATAATTATAAAATTCACCGTTACCTATGTTGTCGACGGTCGAAAATAAATGTCGAATTCTATTACGAGTAGACTTAAAAATGAAACAATCGAAACCGAAGAAAAAGTGACAAATGGAAAGTGATAAATTTTGAGAAAGTTATATATATCACGTGTAGTAAAAATTTGAATAGGTTAAATACTTCCGATGTATGCAATTAATTCAACGCTTGGTTCCTTTCTAAAATTCTGAAAGAAATAATTTTTTCTATATAAATTCGCTATATTTGTCACACGCAATGAAAACAAAAACTTTTGTTACCCACTCATCATGCCGTACGCTCAACTGCTTTAATTTACATAGGGCATGACGTTATTAATATTATTTGTTTATTTATAATAGAATATATTATAAGTTTATACAATATAATGTTGTAATATTTATATTGTTCAAATACAAATTGTATACATTATTTAACCTACACGTTACACGCATTAAGAAGTAATTGCATGATATTTTATTGACCGTTGTCGTTATAAACTCATAAGTTGGTATTTAAATGCAAAAAATACGTTAGAAATGCATAATCAAATGCTTAAAATGCAAAAATATGTAAACGAATTTCTTTACGTGGCGATTTATTGAATTTAATATAAGACACTGCCAGCAGTACTTTAAAAAAGTCTAATTTTTTCATTTTCTCAGCAGTTTTCTGATATTAAAATCTTAATGATTATCCCAATATGAAAAAATATTAAATTTATTTTTATAAAATAACCATTTTCGTTTATAATATTTTTAAAATATATGTGTTTTTCTTGAAAAAATATTCATAGGCATCTTTATGGAAGGGGTAATGGGGCAATCGTTCCTATCATGAGGGGGGCTAACTTACATAGAAATTGGTCAATATTAAATTACTTGACATTTTTTATATTTTTATACAATGGAGTCCAGATATCTTGTTGACATAAATAATATGATAATTATTAAATAAGCCAAATTTGAATAACAGATTTGGCAATTTTGCATATTTACAGACATACTCATATTACATTAAATTTAGAAAAAATAATAGATAGCCTTTTTTTTTTTTTTGAGAAGACCAGTTCTAAATTCTAAAAAATGAAAAAAATGTTTCTATAAACACGGAATCTGATTTCCATGTAAATTAATAATAATTTATTTTATTATTTCCCTCCTTCTTTAGACAACGTCTGGAAACACTCTTGTGAGAACAAAAAATGATCAAGAATTATTTTTGAAAAAGTGAACTGCGTAGGTATCCTCTTCCCCTTCGCCTTTCTCCTAACTATTTAGAGCCAGCCACCTTTATCCTAAACCATCACTCATCTCGATTTTCTCATCCCCTACACACACACATACCAACGGCCCTCATATCATTCTCAATCGTATCCAACCATCTCTTTTTTTAGTCTTCCTCTTTTCCCTTCAACGTTCATTTTCATAATAACTCTTACTACGAGTACATTTGTTTCCTCTTGTCTCATCACATGCCCAAACCATCTCAGTCTATTTTCTCTCATCTTGGTGTAGGTATAAATATTTTGTTCACAATATGTTTTATAGAAGAACAAAGCCAAACGAACCTGACTAAACTGGCTGCTGATTTATAAGCGATTTAGTTGCATCATAAAACATACATTTTACATCAATTTTGTTTGATGATATTGATGATATTATATACTATCTTACATGACATCAAGTCATGTAAGATAGTATATAATATCCTAAATACATTCATCTAAATAAAAATCCAATTTTTACACGTTTGATAACTACCAGGGATGAAATTTAAAATAATGACAGTAATTTTTTAAGTCAAAATACATACTTCAACTATCAAGTGAAATTAATAACTTCAATACCATTACTATTTTATAGTTTTCAACAAAATATTTAGAACATTTATAAAAAAAATATAACCAATGTATGGAATAAATTATCCTCTAACCAAATGTATAAATTTAATAATTGATAAATCTACTAAATTATTTAATCGATTTTTAATTCTTATCCAATTTGTTAATTGCATTTATTTATATACATACTTCAATGCATTTTTGGAAGGAAAAATTATAGGGTCACCGACACCTAGATACTATTTAATATACTATTTAGATACTATTTTTTATATCTCCAATACTTGATAAAAAAAATTATAACTATTAATTTGTTTAAAAATTAATCAATTTCATGAAATAGGCTTTGCCAATTTTTTCGTTTTTTTTTTCGATAAATATCGATAAAGTAAAAATAAAACTCAACTGCTAGCTGTTATAACTATGTAAATTGAAAATCCTTTCAGACTATTTTTTTTAGTTCCACATGAATGTTTTATAATTATATCAGACAATACAGCTGATACGGACCATCATATTTTCAAAGAATAAAGTTATTTTTCAATACAAAAATTATAACGAGCTGTGAATTATATATTTGAAAATAAGTAGATATATACTATTGCATTAATATTTTATTTCTTTGGTCGTTGGAAATTTGTATAGTTTTTAATTCTTAAGTCTGAATAATTTATCGAAATATGCAAAATAAGTATAAAAATAAGTACAAATAACCACCTGCAAAATCTATGAAATATGCAATTATATGCACAATCAAATTTTAGATTTGAAATCATGGCATTGAAAAATTTATTTATTTCGTACACTGCTATATTTTACAATGAATAATCAAAGTATGCAATTACTATAAGTCCCGAGCTCTGATTATAATACTATAATATTGTGTTTCGATTCATGTGACGACGTTAAAACAGTTCGAGGTCAATCGATTTCTACATTTCTATTCGTTGACATGACACTGTCTGCTTAGAACCACGGATTTGCAGGATATGTTTTTGTTACATACTTTGTGTCTAGCAGCCAAAACTGAAGCGTCCCAATACATCGGCGTACCCCAGTGAAAATCGCCAGGGTGAAACCATACCATAACTGGAAACTTTTCGTCGGGCACCGCACCTGCAGAGGATAAACAAAAACAAAAATTAAATTACCACATAAATTATTATTTAAATTTATGAAAATACGTTATTATCAATGATTACTGTTATGATAGAAAATGTGTTATGTTGTTATTTTATGCCGTGCAGACGAAAAATTAGGTTTTCCTGATAATATCAAACTATAATAATTATATAAACGTGATGCGGTGTGGAGGGATTGAACACCGAATACAGCTATTACTTAAATGTTATTTTTCCGCACATATTTGACGTCAGGTACATAGTGCGTTTTATAACTGCTTATTCCTATCTTAGTATAGTTATTGATTAGCAAGTCAAATGCTTTACTATGAAAAAGTTCTAATTTGCTTTTTTTAAATCTCTTTAGATTTTTCATGGACAATAATAATAAAAAAAAATTATTAATAATTAACAATAATATAATTATATATATATATATATATATATATATATATATATTAATTTAATATTAACAAACAAAAAATTATAAGAATTAACAGTAATTTTATTATTAGATTATTTATATCAAAATTTAATACTGTTAAAATATTACTTTTAAATCATTTATTTTAACATTTAACAGTAATTTTAATATTAGATTATTTATATGAAAATTGAATATTATTAAGATATTATTTTTAAGCAATCTATTTTAACATTTAATAATCATTTTATTATAAAATTATTTAGATAAGAATTACACATGAGTGTATGCAATATATTCTCCAGTTACAATTAAAACATTATTTATTAAATAATATTAAAATATTACATACTGCAATAACAAAACTAGGTCACAACAATTATAGATTAAATTTGTTATAAGTTATAGTAAGTTAGTGATAATTCAAGTCAATTAATTAATTAACCATTAAATAAGAGCAACAACAACCTCACTTCGGTATCTATAAAATACCTTAAACGCATTTTAAAATGAGTTGAATCGTGTGGAGTCTGGCTAAAGAGTGTCAATTCGTGAAGCATAGTCGCGTCAGTTGACGCTATTTCCAGGCAGACTTAAGCTTCGACCAACGATGTTTAGAAACTAATAAAAGTTTATTTTCTTACAGTATACAGGTAAGGATTTATATTAATATATATAACTAAAGTTGGAAGATTTGGGATAAATGGTAGGATTAGTAAATACTCATACTCTCCATCATTAAATCTTTCATGCTTCATATATAAACTCAACCCTGCTTTTCTTAATTTGTAATAGAACATATATTTTTATAATTATAATAGACATGTTAAAAATATAATAGATATTCTAAAATCATGTCCCTTATAATTCTTATTAAACTAAGCCAAAAATTCTTGACTTGTATTATAAGATTATGTTATCAACAATACAATGATAATTAATCTTAACTTTTGATTCATTACAATTATATTATAATAATTATAACAATATTTTGGCATTTATTGAATATTAAGATACATCATATGAAACCTATTTCTGTTTGTATAGGTCATCATCATCTAAAGATCTCGCCTTGTCGTGATAACCATAGGTCTCTATCTTTTGCCATGTTTTTCAATTTGGAATATGTTATGACCTCCATGAGATGTTTGAGGTCTTGGAAATATGATGTTCTTGGGCTTCCTCTAAATCTTTTCAACAAAATCTTTCCTTCAAAGATATTTTTCATAAATGTGTTATGTCTGAATAGGTGCCCTATTAATTTCGTTTTCCTTTTTAATATGTGTTTTATTATATTCTTTTTTTCGCTTACATATTTTAACACTCGCTCTTTTGTTTTCCTGTTAACCCATGTTATTTTGCTCATTTTTCTCCAAATCCACATTTCCATTGCTTCTAAGCGGTCCTTTTCATTCTTCCTGATAGTCCAAGTTTCACATCCATATAGTAACACACTCCACTCAAATGTTTTAATGAATTTTTTCTTTGTTTCGATATTAAGGTATTTGTTAGTTAATAGACTGTGTTTTTTTTTTATGAATGTTTGTTTGGCTAAAGTTATTCTTTTTTTTTATATCAATAGTGGATGTATTATTATATGTTATTATACTTCCCAGATAGGAGAACTGTTCGACTTCTTGGATTACCGTGTCGTTTAATTTTATAACTGAGTTGGTATATATTTGATCTCTTCGGGCTGTCATTGTTTTTGTTTTGGTTGCATTTATTTTCATATGATATTTGTCCATAACCCTTGATAATGTGTTAAGCATTAGATTCATGTTGCCTTCACTTTCTGTCACCAGTGCAATTTCGCCCGCAAATCTTATACTGCGTACCTCTTCTCCGTTTATTCTTACGCCGTTGGTTACCTCTTTCATTTCTTCAATGGCTTCTTCCATGAATAGATTGAACAAGTAGGGCGACAAGGGACAGCCTTGTTTCACACCTTTTCTTATCTTAGCTTCTTTTATGGTTCCATTTATACGTATTAGTGTTGCTTCATCTTTATATAATCTCAAGATAATCCTTCTGTCTTTCCAATCAATATCTCTTTTTTTTAATGTACCAAACAGCAAGAACCAATCTACTTTGTCAAAGGCTTTTTCTAAATCTCTGATCTTGTATAGGTACAAATGTTTAAAAAATTATAGCTTATAATTTGTAACTATAAAGTACTTATTTATCAATTTTGATTGATTTATGATAATCAGTGCATTGCTAAGTTAGTCTATCATAAAATATTTCCTTCATACTAAAAAAAATGTAATTAAAAGTAGGCTTTTTAACTCAAGTCCTTATCAATCAGGATATACATAAACAATTAATTAGGCACATTATATTTTAGATTATATCAATTATTTATTATAATTGAATTATTTAAAACTTTATAATAAATTAAATAATGAAATATATATTTTTTTTGCGAAAAATAAAAAATTGTAATATTAATTAAAAATTTAACTAACCAAGATATACCGAGACTTAATTTCTAATGACTTTACCGACTAAATACGAATAGCGTCTTAGAATAAATAAGTTTAATCATTATCGTTGTGTGATTTCACTTTGTAATACTACAGTTAAGTGTAAATTGTGTACAAAGATTGCGTGCGTTTTCACAGGATACCGCATATTGGCAGTCGTTATATACCTGCTTTAGATTAACACTAAAGTTTTTTTAAATTTACTCTGTGAAAATTATTTTCAAACTTGATTAATTGTTAATTCCGCAACGTCGTTTTTATGGTGTTTAAAACATTTTAGCAATCTATATAGTCAGGTTCCATATTATTGTAGACATTATTTCCCATTCGTGTTTTATTTAAAGTTAGCGATTAAAATATATTATTTTAAAACTAATGCATTATTCATACGATGCAAAATCAAGGTCGACAACCTCAAATATTTCTTCGAAAACATAATTTTATGCTACCCCGTTGTGTATGTATTCGTGTTACCTAAAAACATAACTTCGCCTACTCCATTATTGCGCGTGTTTATTAGTTATTATATAATAACATCCGATAACGTACACCAACCCTAGTAAGTCTTTGTATATTTAATATGACTGCAACGTGGCTTTTGTAACTTTTTGTAATACTGACAGTCAATATCTGTCCAATTCATTTCAAAAATAATTACAAAATTTAAATTTGTTTCTAATAGATGAAAAGTATTTTCTGCCTTTTAATTTTTTTGTTGATAAATGTATAATAATAATAATAATAATAAGTTTACCGACGTTCTTATAAGGACAAAGAGTGAACAAGATTATATACAAGAAATATATAATATAATATAGGTATAACTAATAACTAGAGTAAAGACTTTCATGCATTTGTATATTTTTTCTGGTTAACTTTATCGTATGTTTGGTAAGTACAAAATAAATTTCATATTATACATATTACATATATATATATATACAGTGGTTGAATTGGGGGGGGACGCAGAGGGTCTGAGCTACTCTTCATTTTTCTTCATATTATAGCGTACCCCTTAATTTAATTCATCAAGGAACGCAGGGGACGCAGCGTCCTTCAACAATTATATGAATATGAATTTGTTTCTAAGAAAAATTAAATAAATATGAAAAAAAATTGGAAACGATTAATATTTTATTTAATTTTTGGTATTAGTTCGTAATCTGTTCATTATTAATAGCACATATGTATATTAGGAACGCAATAATAAAATATATAATAATGTTATATAATTTATGTAACACGTTTCAAGTGTTTCCACTGCGTATTAATTCGTGGTATAAACTGCTAAATTGCTAAAAATATAACTATTATGAAAACTTCCCTGGGTGTACCGACGATAACGATCTATAGTAAACCATTGACAATAATAATATATTGACTCCGTATTTTGAGAATCCGTCCGTTGTTTTAGTTATCGACGATTAACAAATGGTGATCGTTTTCAAGGAAAATTAAATATTATTTATATTTTATTTGGAAACGAGGTGCGCCACGAATGAGTAATCAGTATTATGTTAGCTTGTCGCGTACTCGCGTATGTAATTTATAAATTATAATTTTGTTGAAAATAGTAAACACCTCAACCGCACTCCTACAGTCCTACATGTCACGTCAGCAATAAACAAATAAACATGAATAAACGTCAAAAATTGTCCATATCGGACTTTTTCAATAAAAAGAAAAACAATAACCAAGGTAATTAAAACACTTTAATAATAAATCATAGGCGTGCGCAGATTCCTGTTACCGGTGTACTTTTATTTTTTTTTTGATAATCCACCCTCATAAATCTCACCTTAAAAAAAAAAAATAGATATACAAAACATAAGTAAGTAGAAATAAAATTTATTAGAAAAACTGATGTACAATCTGATTATCAATGAACGTCAGTCCCGGCAATTTTTATTTTTTTGTAATTTGATAAAATTTATAAAAAAAACTTGATTTTCCAAAAAAAGTTATTAGCCCTTTTTACTTAAGTACCTAGTACCTACCTAAAAAAAAAGTTAATAAATACAGTTAAAAGTTCCTTAAATTTTTTTGGTCATACATTTTAAAGCAATACATATACATAACTATGAT